ACAAATGTCAATAAATCTTCGCATGGGCTCCTGTCTAAATCACGCACTGCCAAAAAAGGTAATTTCTTTGGATACTAGGCCAGAATGAAGTGTCTGAAATTTTTTAATTAAATTTTGAAGGAGGGCCATTTGGAGATATTTCTGATAGTCTCAATATGATTTTATGCTTTTGTTGGTACCTCTTTGCTTCTATGGACATGTGGTAGCTCAATCGATATATAAGTAGTGCGGAATTGGGTTGTGAGATGGCTTCTCCTATCAAATTGTCATTATTAAATTCTGGTTCAGGTCTCTATATCAATTTGTGTGTTTTTTCATCGCACTAAAAACGTTTTTCGTATTCTCACTTCTTAATCTTTACAATATTGCCATCTTCATCACTTTTCTAGGTCATAATAATCGAAGTTGTACTTACCAGAATCGTCTAAGTAGTGACGCTTGTCTGCGTCATCTGCTGCCTGCTCGCCACGCAATGTTGATCACAAGGGCAGACGGCAGTCGAGTCTACGGTTTAGCCCTTCTCTTCCCCGAGCCTATTTTGCACCGAGGTGTCCAAGCGGCTGTGGTGGCTTTACAGGATATGTATGAAGCTGACCTAACCTCACTGGGATCTGCTGGTGGGGCAGCTTTTCTCCGACCCGGTGACGAATTTAATCCCACGTCAGCCGGTGGCGCCAGATATCAACATGGCAAGGACCAATTGTTTTCTATGAAGGTAAGCTGAGTGGTAGTATTAACTGGTTGGGAAAGTGTTGGTGTAGGTTTTTGTGCTAATTTCTCTATTGGATTTTTTCTCAACTGTCCACAATAAGTGGGCGAGGCCTATACAAAATTACCCATTAGATTCAAGCGCCTACCTAGTCCTAAGTAGGAATATTGTAAACCATGTGTGGTGAGAGGACTCATGGATATCACTTCATTTATATGGAGGTTGCTACTTCTAGTCACTAACACATTTAGCAAGCTAATCACCTTAGTAATGTAGAGGACCGAAAGGGAAACAGAAGGTTTCATTTACTGTCTGTATGCTATATTTTTTTAGATACGAAGAGAAACTGTGTCTCGATATATATGTATACATGTATTTAATTGTTTGTGCCATTAAGATTAAAAAGTTACTTCAGATTACCTTGTAAAGGACTCCTGCAAGCCATTTTAATTTGGGCTGGTTACGAAGGGTGAAAGTAAGTATTCAGCCCCATTCTCTTTTTTGCCAGGATTCAAGCAAGTTATCAACAACACCAATTAGTCATCTCTTCTCTTTTTCTCTATTTTAACTATGCTCTATTCTAAATAATCTGATTCTATTAAAATGTAAAATATCAGCTTAAAATACATTTTTTGTTTTCTTTATAGCCTATTGTCTGTATTTTTCTCTTCTGTTTCGCCCATTTTTATCTTTTTTGTACACAAGGCGATTGGACTGCTTCTACGCCATCCATTTAGCCATGGGCTATTTGGTTGGCTTGAGGACGTTTGGGCTACCATTCATCTGCCCGCCACCAGCTCTCTTCCCCTGCTTTCCTCCCCGGCAATCTTCCCTGAAGCTCGATCGTCTGGAGAGAAAGATGCTGCATCTTCTTCATCTCTTCCCTCGACTACTCCGTCTCCAAGTTCAATAGGTCGTCTTCTCGAGGCCTACATTTATAACCTTTTGTTTGAGATACGTCTTCCGCCTCCATCCAAATGCCTGGCCTTTTGGGGTCCCTTCCGAGAGCACTATTGCTACAATCCAAGTGGGTGTCGTAAACTTTTTTTATATGTTAAATTTCACCGTTTTGTTCGCTTTATTGCAGCTTCGCTTTCTTGTATGAAGTCTTTTTCCCTATTTTGATATATTTATATGCCGACTGTGAGGAAGACTTAATATATCTCTTACTATTTTTTCAGTAGTACTGTTGACATTTTATATCGTTCGGTGTTTTATCCACTCAAATAAAAGATGCAAAAAAATAAGTGAAGAACAAGCCCGACATTTATTTTGTTCCGTCCTTTGTCCTGAAAGTTTGTCCCATTTAGGTCACCACGTAATTTAAGCTTTCTCTTTATCCAATCATACCTGAAACATCAATCGGGTATCGAAACCTTTTTCATGAATTGAAGATATGAAGATCAAGATGGTGTGGTCTCGGGTATAGTCGCAATCTCCTTTCGATTTATAGAAGTGGGTTGACCTCTTTGTCGCAACTTGATCTTGTTGTCAGGGCGACTTAGTAGAACGCACCTAGTCCAAAGTCGTCTGTTATAGTAGTAGTCATAATTATGATGCTGGGACTTATGACAACTACTATGGCAGACAAATTTGGACTATGTGCGTTTCACTAAGTCCCCCTGACAACAAGACCAAGTTTTGACAACGAGATCAACCCACTTCTTTCATGAATTTTCTACATCAACTCACTGATATCCTCCTAAATCTACTCTACAAAGCTTGAAAGTCCTACTAATATTTTGAATCAATATCAATGGACTTAATTTCATTGTTAATAGAATCGCTTGACTAACCATTTAACCCACTCACAGATATATTATTTTACAGGGATAACTATGCCCCATCCTTGTAAATACTTCATATCTGATTATGTACTTTAGGTGTACCAGTCATCGCTATGAACTGCGCTAATCGATTATGGCCATATGTCTTGTTCTATCTTCTCTTCCTCTATTGGTTGTTGTACCTCTGACTTCATAACGCCTCTAAATAGTTTCGTTTCCATTGCCAATACTCACAGTGAAGTATATGTTTTATATGCAAGTTCGAAA